TAAATATGTTAATTCTCTCTCGGCCCGAAGACAAAGCCTTATGCTCGACCACCGCAGAGGGCCGAGTTCTGGTGACGTTTTCATTAGAAATGCAAATGGGCATGGCGACATCTTCAAGTTCAAGTTGCCGATAAATTTCGAGATGCGGGACTGGGAAAGCCCAGGTCGGCCAGGTGATAGTTGGGTCAACCAGTTTGGACAGCTTAAATGTCTAAAAGTCGCTTGCTGGCCTCGCTCCATACTTGATTTTCCCCACTAAATTCTACTAAAGATTCATTCCGTTGCCTTGATTGTGAGACTGCTTTCATTACGTATACGCAGCGTTGCCCCAAATTTATGTCAGCCAGTGAGCCGCGAACCGGCGCTATATTAACGCCTATGTGTTCTTATTTTCTAATTACTATATATGCATGTTGGCTGGCCCGGTTGACTATGGGCGTGGTGTATCTGTAATTAGTGTTTTGCACACACATATTCATATCAAATGCCGGCATAGTAGCTGCTTAATAAATTAAACGACAATTTGCACTGGGACCGTGCTGTTGCTCGTAAAGAGTCGGGATCCTGAAAACTGGGACATTAAGCTGGCATTAGGCAAAGGCAGGCCTGCAATTAAAATAAAATGTAGAGCTCAAGCGTCGACGACAATATGCACTAAAGGCAGGCAAAAATGTGTGTCCTTTGCTAAGAAGACCTCGAAAATAATATATTGCGTTCTTGTGGGTGCCAAGTATCGCGTACTAAGCCGCAAATTTATTTGCCGGTCTTTTTGCTCTATCCATGTAGATAAAGCATAGAAATGATTGTCTAAGATTCTGTCTATACTTTATATTTTTTATATTTTTTCCTATTGTTGATTTCTTGTGGCACAACCACATCTTTTTAATAAATAATCTCGACCATTTAGCTGGCTGTTTGCAGGCAAAAAATACATAAGCACGCAAAATAATAATCAGCATCTGTCGTCGTTGCCGTTTGATTGTCAATACAACGTATTTTTATCGCTAACACAATTTGCCAAACAAATTGGCCAGCTCGGCGAAATTTGATTTGATTTATTCCTTTCAGCACTCTCGGATAGGTTTTTTAAAATATTGCTTTTTTTAGCATAAGCTTTAGTTTAGTTTCAGCTCGGTTCGGTTTGGTTCGGGTTTTTGCGCTTGCAATAATTGATATCGGCTATTTGCATATCAAATTTAATATATTTGCATATATTTCTTTTGCACAGAGAAACGATTTTGCGGCTAGCCAGTCAGCTTTTTGGTGAATTTTTTTAATTTTTTTTGTCGCTAGGTATGCGGAAATAATTTTGGCATATAAAACTCGTATCTAGAAAAGAATAGAAACTGTGTATTCTAAAAGCCGGCAGCTCCAAACATTTTCGCAAAAGAAATGCTAGAAGCAAACAAACTTGTTTAACTGGAGTTTAACTGGCAAATTTGTCGTCCGTAAATAAAGCTTATCATTTAAGGAAATTACTAATGCTCCAATTTATGGTGAGGCGACAGATTTGATTGGATTTTTGCACCTGAAAGGCGCCGCCCGGTTTTGACACCAGCCCGGTGATAGCCGAATAAATTAAATGCACAATCTTATTCGTTTCGTCTTTTTGGTGGTGCCAGTACAATGGCAATAAAATAATTTAGGGGCAGTTGTGTTGTCTAGAAGAGAGAAAGACTAAAAATAATGGATAAAATAATAAACAGTGACAGATTTTGTAAATAGATCGATTGACCCAAAAGGCCATTTACATAAAGTGGTGCCAGAAATTCCCTCCCGCAGATTTTTTTCGGTCCGACGGGGCCGTTTTTTATTTATTTATTGGTACGCCAACGTCGTCCGACCGCTATTATCTTCGATTTCGAGCTGGAAACTCTTTCCCCGCGTTTCGACCACATTTTATGTCGCTGCGTGCATCTTTTATGTGCGTGTGGCGCCCGAGACCTTGAAATTGTGGCTGGTTTGTTTTATTATGCTTACATTTGATTAGTTTGCATATGACATTGCCACCAGCGACTAACTTGGCTGAGATGCTGACCAATCTGCGATCCGCAACAGTTGGCAGTGGTGGCAAAAGGTGGGGCCGCACACAAAGCCAAGACAAATTGTTTTTGACTTTAGTTTATTGCTTCGAGTGTGAATCTTGATTAGATTCTGGTCGGCGTGGAATGGGGTGGTATCACATACCATATCATATCATTAGATATAGAACGAAAGACGTGTGTGTGTTCGGCACAAGAAGTGATATCATAGATGTGATAGCTGAGCGGATTTCCTCAGAGGCCACTTCTTGGGGTTACTCATCGCTATAGTTATCCGTGATATCAATCAGTATATTAGTCATAACTGCGATTGGCATTTGCCACTATTGATTTGCAAATCGGTTTGGCTATCTTAAATATGGATCTTGGGTATTTCTCCTTAATTATGCAAATCAAATCAGTTTTCAGCGGATTTGTTGTGGCTGCTACCCCCTTCTGCTCGGAAACTTTGCCGAAATAAAATAAAAAACCATAATTTTTATGATATCAATAAACCATGATGAAAAACGTGATAATCGCTGATCAGATTAAATGGTCGCCTGGCGCCAGCTGATTACCGCCGAATTCCGAATAGCTTCGGGTGCTGGTCAACAGTAAAAACCTCAAGGTCGCAACGGTTGTTAACTTTATGGCTTCTATTTTGCAAAGCCGTGTTTTTGCCACAGGTTAAATGGCCAAACGACGAGCGCCGGACCAATGGACAGATGGACCGTCAGATAGATGGATGGATAGATGGATGGATGAAGGAATGGATGCGCAAAAAAGTTTGGCGAAAATTGATTTCTATCCATTTCAGACCCATTGTTTTTCAACCCCAACACAGTCCAGTGTTTGGGTTTCAAATGGCCAAACCCTAGAGCAGCCAGTCCCAGATATCATACACTATATACCACATCCCAAATACCAAAAGGGGACGCAATAATCGCTGGAAATTCCCAGCTAGAAATATGCGGCTAGACCAACTAAAAAGTGTAGAAAAACCGAGTCGTTTTCGAACTCGTTTGGATGCTCCGCTAAATGTTTTAGCATACAAAATATGAAGAAAATCATTTCATTTACTGAAAGCATGACCATTTATAGTGGCTTTTGCTAAACAAGTTTTCAGCCCTTTTCTGGCCGCTTCCTCTGCTGAGGGCCTGCTCTATTGGATTACAACTTGACGGGTAGGGTCTTTTGCCTGAACATTTTCGATGATGGTACTACGACTTGGACTGAGATCGTTGAATTAGCATAATGTCGACGCCGGCATTTGCAAGAATAGGGCGGCAAGATATCGATGCGCTTTGTTCACGTCGGCTTGGCCATTGTTTTATCGCACAAGCTTCGTTTTTCGAAGGTGGATAGCATTTCAAGAGACAAAAGCTGCCGAAGAAGTTACCAAAAAATGCTTCGAGCCAACAAAAACAACGGTGGTAAAGTCAGCATGAACTTGAGCGCAGTATAGTGACACCGATCGTTGGTTTTCGTATAAATATGGGACCTTTCATTGATGCAAACGTCAGACACAATCAAGTGGTCAAAGTCAAAGAACTAAATTCAAAATGCGTGCCTTCATTGTAAGTATACGATCGATCGTCGACGAAATACACCAAAAGGATACCCGGGATTACAATGCTGTTTTCTTTATCTCCAGGTAATGTGCTTGGTGGCAGTCGCCTGCGCCGATAAGCTCGGCTACAACTACCAGCCCGTGGCCCACTCCAGCTCCGGACTGTCCTTCGCTCCTGGAAGTGGCGCTATTAGTGGTGGATCCATTGGCGGAGGCTCCATTGGCGGAGGCTCCATTGGCGGAGGCTCCATTGGAGGAGGCTCCATTGGAGGAGGCTCCATTGGCGGAGGCTTCATTGGTGGCGGCTCGATTGGAGGCAGCATCGGAAGCGGTGCCGGTCTGGGTGGTCTGAGCAGCTTCGGTGGTGGAAGCATTGGAAGCATTGGTGGTGGTGAAGCCCTCAGTGCCCCCGTCTCCTACAGCGCCCCCGCCCCCGCTGCTGAGCTCCAGAAGGAGTTCTTCACCTACTCCGCCAACGAGGCTGACTTCGATGAGCCTCAGCAGCTGGAGCGCGTGTCCTCTGCCCTGAACAAGGCCCTGCGCGTTGTCTTCATCAAGGGACCCGAGAACCGTGGCCTGGAGAACGCTGCCCTCGCCCTCGCCAAGCAGGCTGCCCAGCAGGAGACCGCCATCTATGTCCTGAACAAGCAGGCCGATATTGGAGATCTGGCCAACAAGCTGAACGCCATCCGCAACAACAACAACAACAAGCCCGAGGTGCACTTCGTCAAGTACCGCACTCCCGAGGATGCTGCCAACGCCCAGCGCGCCATCCAGGGTCAGTACGACCAGCTGGGAGGATCCAGCCAGGCCCACAACGGCGGTGTTGCCCCCGTCCTGAACTTCGCCTCCGCCGCTCCAGTGCGTCAGGCCGCCGCCCAGAGCCCCGACAACTCCTACCTGCCATCTTCGATCTTCCGTCGCGTCTAAGTCGCTCGTTTCGCTCCTTTTGGAATCGAAAACGCCAGCGATTTTTGACTGATATTAAATCGTAGTTTTTGTTGACTAATGCTTAAATAAATTCAATTCTTAAATTTTAAAACCAATTTGATATTTTGAAATGCGTTTGTGAAACCCAGAAACTTTGCAGGGCGACTTCATTTGAAACGAAAGTTGGAAGTTCAGATTTATTTCCCGCGATATTTTTCTTGCAAACTTGGCAAGCGCACAGCAGTTCGGGTCACAAATATATTTCTTAGGAAATAGTTGATGCCTTAATATTTTTCACCAATTTATGACTTCGGTACCAAGAATGTATTGAGGCTGGGTTTTTGAATTTACAAGCTGTTTTCTTTCTGTTTTTATATGATTTTATTGATGCTATGAATACGTATGAAATATGTTTTTAATTGCTTATTAAAAAAAATGTTGCATACTTAGGTGGAATTAACGCAATGAAAACAGCATAATTTAGATAATTAGATAACTTTTAATCGAAACAATCTGTAACAAGGCAATTTTCTAGTGGCGCAGGCGGCTGAGGATGTTGGCGGGTAGGTAGTTGCTCTGGGGCACCTGTTGAGGAGTAGCACGAGCGGGAGCAGCTCCCTGAGATGCAAAGTTGATGGCATTTGCCACGCCTCCGTTGATGGACTGGCTGGAGCCGCCCAGCTGATCGTACTGCGATTGGATGGCCCGCTGGGCATTGGCAGCGTCCTCGGGAGTCCTGTACTTGACGAAGTGCACCTCGGGTTTCTTGTTGGCATTCTGGCGCACGGCATTGAACTTTTGGGCCAGCTCGTTGATATCAGGCTGTTTGTGCAGCACATATATGGCAGTTTGCTGCTGGGCAGCCTGTTTGGCCAGGGCCAAGACGGCATTCTCGTAGCCGCGGTTCTCCGGCGACTTGATGAAGATCACGCGAATGTTCTTCTTTACCGAGGCAAGAGCCCTCTGCAAAGCAGCCTTATCCTCGAAGTCGTCGTCGTTGGCATAGAAGCTGTAGAACTCCTTGTGAACTGAGGCCTGGGGAGCGGCACTGTAGCTAACTGGTCCTGCCAGTGCAGCGACTGGGGATCCAGCAAGACCCCCAATACTGGTTGTCGACCCTTGTCCGTAATTATATCCGGACAAACTACCGGCACTAGCCGCAGCCACAATGCTTAGAATAATGAGGGCACGCATATTGACCCGATGCCTACGAGGTGTTCTAGACGAATGAATAATATCGCATTCATTATCTACCTTTTATACCGCCAACGCGACGACGTTTAAAATTAGACTACAAAATCTAGTCAATTGAGCCGTCTAGTCGCTTTGGGGTCCCTCTGGCGGAACACGGCGATCATTGATCTCCGCTCACGAGTCGTGACTCGCGAATGGCCAGTGGCTATTGGCCATCGGGTTTTCGGAATGCTGTTAATCTGCTAACATAATTTCGCTCTTAACACATTTAACACATTGTTTTGAGCAAGAGGCAGCTTCAATCGTGCCGCCGACTGAGATGTGATTCCGAATCGGAGTCCAAGTCCGAGCTGAGATCCGATTGCGAGTCCAGTCGTTTTCCGATCTATCGTGATTCACCCATAATTGGCTTATAATTTATGCACAAAACAAAAAAAAACAAAAAAAAGAAGAATAACCGATCTCTTGGCTGCTTCAATACGATTGTTTTGTTATATTATACAGAACCGCTTATTTGTTAATGATTTCAACAAAAAAGTGATCGTCAGCTTAATAAAATTAATGATAAAACTTTGTTTTTATGGCTAATCAGGTTTCGATTGGGCATAAATCTTCTTTGCCTTCGTATGTGGGTTGCACTTGAGATTCCTTTCTAATTGTACGTGACACACGATGGGCCTCGGAAACCAGGTCATCTAACAGTTGTTGGCATCTCCGCGACCTTGAGCTGTCGGCGGGAAAGAACCAGTTCCTCGTTGGCCGGGAGTCCGATATTAATGCTTCCCGCTGGCCAAGTGGGTGGATCTAATCTTGTAGACGATTAATTTGGCGGCATGCGAGTTGGCTCTGTCAGACAATTAGTCCACCGATTTGTACGGAAAGTCTCGGTGAGTATGATGCGGTGGGTTAGACTCATAAAGGAAACCTGCTCCGAACTGCCTTCCTTATCTTGATGTCGTCAATTCGAGATATTTATAGTTTGAAGGGCACTTTTTATACTCAACCCATCCGCACACAATCAAGCCAAACAAGGCGGACTTAATGCACCATTAGCTACTATGGCAAAGTCGCAATAAAAATGTCACTCTATAAAACACATAAGGCAGACCTTTGTTTGATTTTTCGTATTTAAATTTCAAATTTATTGGTGTAATTATGCATTAGTCAACAACGTGTAACAAGAAGAATGAGTTCTTCAGTCGAGATATGCTTAAGTTAATGGAGTCCAAGACGTAGCCTTCTTAGAAACGCAGACGACGGAGCACCGACGATGGCAGGTAGGAGTTCTGAGGGATCTGGGCGTTCACCCTCTGGACGGGACCAGCGGAGGCGAAGTTCAGAGCGGGGGCGACACCACCATCATGAGCCTGAGAGGATCCTCCCAGCTGGTCGTACTGACCCTGGATGGCGCGCTGGGCGTTGGCAGCGTCCTCGGGAGTGCGGTACTTGACGAAGTGCACCTCGGGCTTGTTGTTGTTGTTGTTGCGGATGGCGTTCAGCTTGTTGGCCAGATCTCCAATGTCAGCCTGCTTGTTCAGCACATAGATGGCGGTCTCCTGCTGGGCAGCCTGCTTGGCGAGGGCGAGGGCAGCGTTCTCCAGGCCACGGTTCTCGGGTCCCTTGATGAAGACCACTCGCAGACCCTTGTTCACGGATCCAGCAACGCGTTCCAAAGCCTGAGGCTCATCGAAGTCCTGCTCGTTGGCGGTGAAGGTGAAGAACTCCTTCTGGAGCTCAGCAGCGGGGGCGGGGGCGCTGTAGGAGACGGGAGCGGCCAGAGCTTCGCCACCTCCTAGACTACCGAGACCTCCAAGACCGGAATCGATGGATCCACCATCAATGGAACCACCGAGAGAACCGCCTCCAATGCCACCTCCTCCGATTGAGCCACCACCAATGAAGTCTCCTCCAATGGAGCCTCCTCCAATGGAGCCTCCTCCAATGGAGCCTCCGCCAATGGAGCCTCCGCCAATGGATCCACCACTAATAGCGCCACTTCCAGGAGCGAAGGACAGTCCGGAGCTGGAGTGGGCCACGGGCTGGTAGTTGTAGCCGAGCTTATCGGCGCAGGTGACTGCCACCAAACACAAGACCTGGAGGCATGAAGAGAGAAGTGTTATCCTGGCGTATAATCCTTTGAGTCCTTGACCGCGCTACTTACGATGAATGCGCGCATCTTGAGCAGATTGTTGGTTCTTTAGCTTTGAGGTATGAGTTGCTTATGTCTCTGGCTAGGAGCGATCTTTATTATTTATACAAATCCATCTTGGGGGCTGATAAAGACAAAGATACCGCCGCGGCGTCTACTGCACGGAGATCTCTTTGAAGCCACTGTGTTTTGCCGCCTACAAAGGTTTTTGCTTCCTCGGTTTTTTTAATGTTCGTTGTGGAATTTTTTGGTTGCGTTTCAATGGGCAGAGTCTGGTCGTTGTGGGTTATTCAAATATTTCGAGTTTCGTCCAATAGTTTACAAGAATTCATATTAAATTATAAAATTAATATGTCTCGAGCACGTCGGAATGAGTTTATCATGCAGATGGGTCATAATTAGGTATTATATGAAATACATTTTCTTTACAAATTCTTCGGCAAGGCTAAAAGCTTGTTTTATGTAGGACATCTGCACTTGGGTTTTCCGACTAAATGACAATCGTTTAGTCATCATAATCGATTTCGACACATCTGTTTAGTTCTGATTTATGGACATGATGCAAGCGCTAAATTTAGCAACCCATCTAATGAGATATTTGAAATACCGCCCCCAGTTCATTGATTCACTTTTTCGCATATTTTACTAATAAAATAAAATCTTTGCTTTAGAGTGGTGAAAACGATATGTTTATATATTTAATAATTTGCCTTTTTTTGTCATAAAAATATTTAACCCACATTTAAAATATGCGGAAATATTTTAATGTATTCCTTCTCCAGTACTTCGAGCTTGGAGTTAATTTAAAGTCCTTGGTACGATCATATTTTGTTATGACGAATATCAAACGTCAAGGTCATCAGGAAGCTGTCTTGGGTAATACAGCTAACAAATTTCTTAAAGCTCTTTAGCTCCATATTGCTATTTTTAAGAATGAATTCGAATTAAAGCTTGTTCAAAATAAAAATAGATATCAATTTCCATGTCTAAAAGCCAAACTTTGAATTCCACTGATGTTGTTATCAGCAAGTAAACACGATAGTTTACTTTACCGCCATATAAGATAAAATATCATAGAATATTTGGATTCAGAATTTTGTATATTAATATTCAATAAATTTCAACAATAAGATTTAACAAGAACAGCCAACAACTTCAACTCAAAGTCGTTAACATATTTACAAACGACGACGGAAGATGGAAGTGGGCAGGTAAGCGTTCTGAGGGATCTGAGCATTGGCCCTCTGGACTGGACCAGCAGAGGCGAAGTTCAGGGCGGAGGCCACACCACCGTTGTGGGCCAGAGAGGATCCTCCCAGCTGGTCGTACTGACCCTGGATGGCGCGCTGGGCGTTGGCTGCATCCTCGGGAGTGCGGTACTTGACGAAGTGCACCTCGGGCTTGTTGTTGGAGTTGCTGCGGATGGCGTTCAGTTTCTGGGCAAGATCTCCAATATCGGCCTGCTTGTTCAGCACATAGATGGCGGTCTCCTGCTGGGCAGCCTGCTTGGCGAGGGCGAGGGCAGCGTTCTCCAGGCCACGGTTCTCGGGTCCCTTGATGAAGACCACTCGCAGGCCCTTGTTCACGGATCCAGCAACGCGTTCCAAAGCCTCAGGCTCATCGAAGTCGGCTTCGTTGGCGGAGTAGCTGAAGAACTCCTTTTGGAGCTCAGCAGCGGGGGCGGGGGCGCTGTAGGAGACGGGAGCGGCCAGAGCTTCGCCACCTCCTAGACCACCGAGTCCGCCGAAGCCAGAATCGATGGAGCCACCACCGATGGAACCACCAAGGGAACCACCTCCAATGCTTCCTCCTCCGATAGAGCCACCACCAATGAATCCTCCTCCAATGGAGCCTCCTCCAATGGAGCCTCCCTCAATGGAACCGCCTCCAATGGATCCACCACTGATAGCACCACTTCCAGGAGCGAAGGACAGTCCGGAGCTGGAGTGGGCCACGGGCTGGTAGTTGTAGCCGAGCTTATCGGCGCAGGCGGCTGCCACCAGGCACAGTACCTAAAGTAATCAAGGGTTATCCATTAGTTCTGATTTTGCCGGAAGTCCTGGCTAAACCACTTACGATGAAGGCGCGCATCTTTAGTTTGGGTTTGAGGTTCTCTTGGTTCGGAGTACAATTTGCTTCTGCCTATGACCACGGCGACGGTAACTATATATACTAACCCAACTTCGAAGCTGGCGGCGCAGTTTCTCGAAGACAAAGCGCTGATGCTGCTAAATGTTTTGTCCGCCTACCAAGTAGGCAGCGAACGGCTTTTGTTCGGGCTCGCAGAGCAATTCAGCTTTGCATAAGTGTTATTATAAGGAGAAGCTATTAAACAACAAACGAATTGAAATAGCCGCGGACACAGCCAGAAACTTGAAAGATCTAGATTAAAAGCGAAGTGTATTGGTTTATATCGATTTTAGTTTTTTATTCAATTACATTTCTACAACACATTTAACAACTGTCAGCTTCCTTTCGGCGCTTAACGGATGCGCAGGCGACGCAGGATGTTGGCGGGCAGGTAGGAGGTGCTCGTGGCGGCGGCTGGTGCGGAGTAGTTGGGGCCACCGCGAGCGGGAGCCTGGGGGGCAGCGGAGGCGAAGTTGATGGCGTTGGCAACTCCTCCGTTGATGGACTGGCTGGATCCTCCCAGGTTATCGTACTGCGACTGGATGGCACGCTGGGCATTGGCAGCATCCTCGGGAGTCCTGTACTTGACGAAGTGCACCTCAGGACGCTGGTTGGAGTTCTGGCGGGCAGCATTGAATTTCTGGGCAAGATCTCCAATGTCGGTCTGCTTGTTCAGCACATAGATGGCGGTCCTCTGCTCGGCAGCCTGCTTGGCCAGAGCCAGAGCGGCGTTCTCCAGGCCACGGTTCTCGGGTCCCTTGATGAAGACAACGCGCAGTCCCTTGCTCACGGAGCCTGCGATCTTCTGGGCGGCCAGAGGATCCTCGAACTGGCTCTCGTCAGCCTCGAAGGTGTAGTACTCCTTGTTCAGTTCGCTGGAGACCGAGTAGTCCGGGCTGCTGGCGGCACCAGCGTATGAGTCGCCAATTCCGCTTCCGGAGTAGCTGGGAACATTATCGGAGGCGGCTCCCGTAAATCCCGCTCCGTAGTTGTACTGGGCGCAGGCGGCACCAATCAGGCAGAAAGCGATGAGGAAACGCATGGTGAATATTTGGTTTGGTTTGGTAGGCTGGGTGTGCTGAAGAGGCAAAGGCCAAGACTGAATCCTGAGACTGAGGCGAGCAGCTTATATACCCATCTGGCGTTGTTTTAACCGACTTAGAACTATAACCGACACTATTCCCGTCGGGTTGCTCTATAACTCAACTAGTTTTTTATGCAAAGCGGTGCGCTTATGAAGTGTTTATGCAAAACTATCCAAGAATTCTCGCCAATCCATCCAGTCGGCGACCCCCGACTTACTGACCAACTGCCAAAGCCAAATTCTCGACCGGTTCATGGCGCCGTGATCTATTCTTGACCGGGCCAAAACTGCCCGGAATTCGATTAGGGAAAATGCTGCAAAACTATCAGACCCAAACCCGTTTCCAAAAAAAGTCAGAGCCCGGCTATAAATGTTCTGATGGTCGTTAAAGCCAAACACAATGTGATGCATTCTTGGAGTTCCGCCTACGAACGATAAAAGCTTAATCTATGCATACTCCATTGATAGTTTATGATTTGTTGTTGCTTTCTGTTTGTCGCTTTTTCGCAATCGAAAGTGGGTCTAGAATTTTAAGCTACTTTTTTGGTTTGAGGTTCAAAGTCAAAAAGAATGTCGGAAGCTTGCTTTGAACTCTGGGCAAACCTGTTTTAAGTAGCCTGGGAATTCCACACAAGTTCCCTATATAAGCGCCAGAAATCTCGGGACGCGCCAGTTTTAAATTATATCTTAACTAACGAACAATCGATGGTTAAAATCATAATCATGAAAAATAGCACAGCACAAAATTGGCACAGAAGAAGGATATCTTCCACAAAAGTTCTGCTCATACATTTATGTGATAAAAAAATTAACTTTCAACTTTCGAAAAGGCTTTGTCATCTCAGCTAAGCGAATGAAACTGAATGTTTCCTAATGAAAATATTTATATTTTTAAGGTTACGGTTAAGGTAAAGGTAAATTTTACCTGTTCACCCCTCGGAAATTACTTAAATACATACATAAAATAATCATTTAAATCTTTTGCATTAAAAGCGTAATATTTTTTCTCATATACCCATTTTTCTAACAGTATTGACTAGATTTATAAATCTATATCGGCCTAATCGTCTTGAGCGTTCTGTGCACAGATAAATCCTAAAAACCAACTCAGATTTCACTTATATTTTCGTTTTATTTATGGAATAAAGCAACATAATAACTAGTCAACAACTCAACATTCGGTAAATGTCACTTAGCGACGGAGGCGACGGAAGATGTTGGCGGGCAGGTAGCTTGGTCCTGGAGCACTGGCAGTGCTGCTCTGGAGGGGAGCGGACTGGGAGGCGAAGTTCAGGGTGGAGGCAACACCTCCATTCTGGGCCTGACTGGAACCTCCCAGCTGGTCGTACTGACCCTGGATGGCGCGCTGGGCATTGGCAGCATCCTCGGGAGTCCTGTACTTGACGAAGTGCACCTCTGGCTTGTTGTTGTTGTTGTTGCGGATGGCGTTCAGCTTGTTGGCCAGATCCCCAATGTCAGCCTGCTTGTTCAGGACATATATGGCGGTCTCCTGCTGTCCGGCCTGCTTGGCCAGAGCCAGAGCGGCATCCTCCAGACCGCGGTTCTCGGGTCCCTTGATGAAGACCACGCGCAGGCCCTTGTTCACGGCGTTGGCAGCCTGGTCGGAGGCAGCTGGATCGTAGAAGTCACCCTCGTCGGCGGTGTAGGTGAAGAACTCCTTCTCGAGTTGGCCCTGAGGAGCAGCGTAGTTGGGGGCTGCAGCGGATTGGGATCCTTCGAGGGAGTCAGCAATGGATGATGGTGCAGACGCGAAAGCGGGTGCATCGTTGCTCGACGATCCAGATGGCTGGAAGCTTAATCCTGAGGAAGAGTGGGCCACGGGTTGGTAGTTGTAGCCCAGCTTGTCGGCCGTGGCGAAGGCAATAAGGCAAAGGACTACGAAGGAACGCATGTTGACTGTTTGGATTGCAAAGATGAATGGTAACTGACTTACCGAGCCGATATTTTGGCTTTTATAGGTGCAACATTCAGTTCTTCGGCTGCATTATGAGGCGTTATGAATTATGAACAGTTCGAATTTGCCTCAAAAATGCATAAATAAGAGATTAAAATGTTAAATTTTTAATATAATTTTATGATTCGTCACACTGCTGCTGCGGTTGCAAATATTTGCATGGCGATGTTTTTTACCGGCTCTGCGGAAAACGGCATGCAAAGAGGTTCATAGTCCGACTCGGTTTGCCAAATCAGATGGCGCCAAGTAATTTATTAAGAGACCAATTATCGAATTATCTGATTTGGCGCTGACAAGGCGCTGCGGTGCAATTCTTAATTGGCAACCGGCCTAGGCGATCAAAAGTCGTGTATATATATTAAAGAAAGATGGCGGCTATATTTAGCGATGAGTTCGATTCCTCACTTCCGGCGGATGGAAGGTCGAATCCACCCGCAACATTTGCATAAAGCAGCTAACACAACGACCAAGACGACAAGACAAAGCCGCTGAATAAGGCAATAATAATTTGGCGAATCGTTAAAATATTTATTTTTGGCAGCGGTAACGCGACTAGGCGCGCCTCATTTGCATGTGAAACGGCCTGTCAAACGTTTTGTTTGCTCTCGGACCGATTTGGATGACACTTCTCATCCCGGGCGAACTGGGAATGAGTTTGGACTTGTGATACACATGTAGATACAAACATGAGTAACAAAGCATCCGTCTAAATAGCCCCAAATGGGGTTTACGATGCTCTTGATGCTCTGTCCGCGGCTTTTTATAGCCAGATTTTATTGATTTCAACGATAAAGCTACATGAAAATACCAAAATGGCAAGGTTGGCCCATAGCACTGGCCAAAAGCGGCGCAGAAGAACACGCGAATTATTGATTAAGGCAGCATATTGAATTTAATATGAATTTTATGGCGCCAGCTACGGCTAGCACATGGCCCATACCTCTTCCTTCTAAGTTTCCTAGCTGACCTCATGATGCAGCCACCCGCTTCGCATGCATATTTAAGCGGGGTGGTACTGGTACTGGAACTGCCCGATCTAGATGGCTTAGACTATAATTAGACCACTTTATGCAGAGCGTTTTGCATAGCTGTGGCTTTCATCTGCATAAAAGCAAAAGAACCATTAGACACCATCATCAAATCCCACAGCCACCTCACCCGCTCAACATGCGTCAGTTCTCTGTAGTTCTTTGCCTGTGCCTCGCTGTTTTGGCCAGAGCCGATAAACTTGGCTACAACTACCAACCCGTGGCCCACTCGCCCTCAGGATTGAGCTTCCAGCCATCTGGATCGGCCAGCAACGATGCACCCGCTATCGCGCCTGCACCCGAAGCATCCTTTGACGCCGCTCCATCATCCATTGCTGACTCCCTGGAAGGATCCCAATCCGCTGCTGCCCCCAACTACGCCGCTCCTCAGGGCCAACTCGAGAAGGAGTTCTTCACCTACACCGCCGACGAGGGTGACTTCTACGATCCAGCTGCCTCCGACCAGGCTGCCAACGCCGTGAACAAGGGCCTGCGCGTGGTCTTCATCAAGGGACCCGAGAACCGCGGTCTGGAGGATGCCGCTCTGGCTCTGGCTAAGCAGGCCGGACAGCAGGAGACCGCCATCTATGTCCTGAACAAGCAGGCTGACATTGGAGATCTGGCCAACAAGCTGAACGCCATTCGCAACAACAACAACAACAAGCCCGAGGTGCACTTCGTCAAGTACCGCACTCCCGAGGATGCTGCCAATGCCCAGCGCGCCATTCAGGGTCAGTACGATCAGTTGGGAGGATCCAGCCAGTCCCAGAATGGAGGTGTTGCCTCCACCCTGAACTTCGCCTCGCAGCCCGCTCCTGTCCAGGCTGCCAGCAGCCAAGCGCCCGCCCAGTTCCTGCCCGCCTCCCAGCCTGAGGCTACTGCCCCCATCTCCTCGTATGTGCCACCTGCCACTCCAGGAAGCTCCTACTTGCCCGCCAACATTCTGCGCCGCCTGCGTTTCTAGGTTCCTGTCATTGGACATTCTTTGTTATTGTTGAGATTTTAACACGAAATAAATTTGTTTCATAATATACATTTTCAAGTTTCTCTCAACTTATTTGGAGAGCTATGAGGGACATTGTTCTTTTAAACAATGTACATTTCTTGTATAACTTTTATAATGAAGTTCGCCGAGGATTATATCCTGAGATATACAGATCTATACCGCATCTTGTTTTTTAACTTAAATGATAAACTTCTATTCCCGTCGTTTCTGTGTTATTGTTTGGATTGCAAACCGAATAAAATTGTTTGGAAACGTAAATTGTTAGGTGGACTTGCGGATCTCCGCAGCCAGCATCTTAGGTATATAATCGGCTAGAATTAAATTTCCGAGCTAAAAAATTTTCGCTTTCGACGGTTGCCAAACGAGTTCGAGTTGCGTTGAATTATGAGTCCGTCCGGCTAAGCTGTTTGTGAAAATTGCAAATGAGCGGAAACCTAAGATGTTTTCTCTGCCATCGCTTTGTATAATCTGGTGCGTGATAATCTGTATAATCTGGTGTATAACATATGGCTTATCGGCTACTTGGCTGCCCATGCCTACGCACTTCGCGGTTCGAAATTGAGATGGCACTCGGTTTGACAAATTGCACGAGACATCGGACGACAGACGACAATGTTCAAATGCCGAGACTCCATTGGGGCGGGCAATTTAAAATTATTAAGCTGGGAAATTAGCCCAAAAGTGGAGGGACAGAGTCTTACTTTCAATCATGCCCAGCTCGATTTGCATAACAAAATGGGCGAACAAAAGAATGCGGCTACTGCACAGACAGACAATTTGGAGCTTGGAGCCGCTACTGCCCAGCTCTTTGTCGCCCTTTGTGGATTTACATAAAAATTTTGTTTTTCTGTAAGCTGGAAGTTCATCAAATTTTAATCAACGCCGCCGCCAACGCCAACGCCACGGCTTCTGCTTTTGCATCAGCTTCTACCAATAGGTCTACACCAAGTCGAGCTCAGCCCAAAGCCGCCAAGTGGAAAAAGAAAAACCGAAAAACAGGTTAGGCCCGCAGACAATGCGTACCTTATCGCGATCTCCAGCACGCTGTCATACGCCTGTTCTGATTGACGCCCCTGCCGTGTCGACCAGGCCATATAAATGGCCCGTCGGCTCAGCTCGACATCATTCTGACTTCCGACTCCGGAGCTCCAGCTAGAACAGCAATTACTTAACTGCAAGATGCGCGCCTTCGTCGTCCTGTGCCTCGTGGCCATCGCCTCCGCCGACAAGCTCGGCTACAACTACAAGCCCGTGGGCCACTCCAGCTCCGGACTCTCTTTCGCTCCTGGCAGCGGTGGATCCCTGAGCCTGGGAGGCGGCGGCGGATCCTTGGGCCTGGGAGGCGGCAGCAGCTTCGGCAGCTTGGACGGCGGTCTTGGCGGTTTTGGTGGTCTTGGCGGTGGTTCCATCGATCTGGGATCTTCTGGACTGGGATCCGGCCTTGGATCTGGACTGGTGTCCTCCGGCTTGGGATCTGATCTGGGTTCCGCTGGACTGAGCGCCCCCGTCTCCTACAGCGCCCCCGCCCCCGCCGCTGAGCTCCAAAAGGAGTTCTTCACCTTCACCGCCAACGAGCAGGACTTCGATGAGCCTCAGGCTTTGGAACGCGTTGCTGGATCCGTGAACAAGGGCCTGCGAGTGGTCTTCATCAAGGGACCCGAGAACCGTGGCCTGGAGAACGCTGCCCTCGCCCTCGCCAAGCAGGCTGCCCAGCAGGAGACCGCCATCTATGTCCTGAACAAGCAGGCCGATATTGGAGATCTTGCCCAGAAACTGAACGCCATCCGCAGCAACTCCAACAACAAGCCCGAGGTGCACTTCGTCAAGTACCGCACTCCCGAGGATGCAGCCAACGCCCAGCGCGCCATCCAGTCGCAGTACGATCAGCTGGGAGGATCCTCCCAGTCCCACAACGGCGGTGTGGCCCCCGCCCTGAACTTTGCCTCTGCTGGTCCAGTGCGCCAGGCCGCCGCCCACATCCCGGAGAACTCGTACCTGCCGTCGTCGGTGCTGCGTCGCCTGCGTTACCGCCACTAGGAAGTGCCGTGCCATAGGTTTTAGCTGCCTTACTTGTTGACTTTTTTGTGTTATCTATTGATTTGTCGAACGAAGCGCTCAAATACAATTCTTTTTTTAATTAATGAGCTGTCTATTTCTGTCCTGTGTGTGGGAACTTCGCTAACCATAAAGCTGTCGGGAATTTTTGACGATTGAGCCACTTACTTCGGGTTGAGTGAGAAATTGCAAAGCTCGGCGTTTATTACACGCCCGAAGTGGCAATAAAAATTCCAAAGCGATGGCGCCAAATGGAATACAAGTGGAAATCAATAAAAAATTTACATGTTTTGGGATGCAGAGGAAAAAAACAATCGATGAAAATTTTTTATCATAATTAAAATGTTAATCTGCGTGAAGTAAAAGGTTAGACAAACTATTAGCGCTCAAATTTATGGCAACTGCAAGACGGAACCAAGACGGCATACATAATGTATGAGTGATAACAGAGTGGCCGGATGAATGGCCAATAACAAAGAGTCAAAGTGGTCGGCGACAGATCTTTTCAAGAGCACCCACTATACGCTCGATTAGCATAAGCAGAAAAGTGGCCGAAGTTTGTTTAGAAAAATCATACAAATTATGCTCAGAAATCAAGCAGAAAAACAAAGTCCAAAGAAGCCAGCCAGCGCCAGCAGCAAACTTAAAAGATTATAGCAGAGAAACAAGCGGTGACAACAAGCGAATTGGGAATTGGCCAAACTGCAGATTGGCTGATACAGGAGCAATGGGCGAAATGCTCGGCATGAGGTGCAAAATCAAAGACAGCCAATTAGAAAACCAAATGATGGCCATTAGCAGAGAGTTGCAATCTGCAGTGATTTTGCATAAAAGTCGGGTACGTCGTGGAGTTGGACATACTTGCCTTCGATCCAGCAAACCGAGCGGAGTTATCCACCTACACACCAAACATCAACATGCGCGTCCTTATTGTAAGTACTTTGGTATCAAGGACCTCTAATCAGTCATACTGATCTCATACTGATACATATTTTCAGGCTCTGTGCCTCGTGGCTGCCGTTACTGCAAGGAATGGCTATAACTACCAGCCTGCAGCTTCTGGCCCAGCTGTCGCATCCTCTGCTCCTTCCGGATCCAGTTACTCCCCTTCGGTGGCCGCTAGCCAGGATGCCCCCGCCGAGTTCTACGGGCCTGCCGCCGCCCTCGAATCTGCTCCTTCCGCTGCTGCCACCAACTATGCAGCTCCTCAGGCCGAGCTCCAAAAGGAGTACTTCACCTACACCGCTGATGAGCGCGACTTCGCTGAGCCAGCTGGCTCTCAGCAGGTCTCCGGCTCCTTGAACAAGGCCCTACGTGTGATCTTCATCAAGGGACCCGAGAACACTGGCCTGGAGAACGCTGCTGCGGCTCTGGCTAAGCAGGCTGGACAGCAGGAGACCGCCATCTATGTCCTGAACAAGCAGGCTGATATCGGAGATCTGAGCAACAAGCTGAACGCCATTCGCAATAACAACAATAACAAGCCAGAGGTGCACTTCGTCAAGTACAGGACTCCCGAGGATGCTGCCAATGCCCAGCAGGCCATCCAGTCGCAGTACGATCAGCTGGGAGGATCCTCCACCATTCAGAACGGAGGCGTGGCTCCCGTCCTGAACTTCGCATCCCAACCAGCTGCCCAGCAAGCGGCCGCTCCCTCGGCTCCTGGTAGCTCCTACCTGCCAGCCTCGATTTTCCGTCTCCGCCAATAGGCACTGAACTGACCTCAGACTGACACATGACCCATCAACGATTCCTACGCACTCGCTGCGACCCACTTTGCCTAGTTTGTAAATCCCTCGAATTTCGATATGTGTCCCCAATAAAATATTGTTAATATAAAAGAGTGTTGTAACATTTGGTGGGAATCGCGAATTTTGTAACATATTTTCGAACGACATTGAACTATTTGCCCTATAAGGTTGGCAGTATGCCCGATTTGGATACATTCATGCAACCATTTTTGAGGGCAAAATATTATAAAATGCTTAGCCCTCTTGCGATTTTTAGTTAAATGCTTTTTGCTCTTCGCATTGGTCATATCATGCTGGGAATAGTGGTGAGTTTATCTGAAAATTGGCAAGGTTGGCATAAGATCATAAAATTTGTCCTAGTTTCTCACGTTGTTGGCCGGCAGCTCTGCGGAACTGGTCTACCAGTATCAGCACAATAGTTATGCAGGTGCTGTGAATAGCTATGGAAACGAAGCAGTTTTGGATGATGAACGATACCCCCGGCAACCGGGTAATCACTACCAGGAGAACGCAGACTTTCACAAGCACTTTTACGCCTTCGAGGCTCCTTACGATTCTGTGGAGGAGGCGGATTTGGCGGAAACTAAGTTATCATCCCTTGCCGAGAAGAACCTCCAAGTCGTGTTTATCAAGGCTCCGGAAAATAAGGCGGTGGTGGGTGCTCTAAACGCCTTGGCCAAGCAAACCAGCGAGGATAAGACGGCCATTTACGTACTCAACAAACAGACGGATGTCAATGAGCTGGCAAGCCAACTAAGTGCCCTTAAGGCCCAACACAAGCATAAGCCACAGGTTCATTTTGTTAAGTACAAGACGGAGGAGGAGGCTGCTCAGGCCCAGCACTATATTCAGGCCCAATACGGCGGAGGATCTTCGATTCCCCAGCCTGCAAAGGCATCCTCCTTGGGCTATTATCCTGAGCAGCAGCCACAGTATGAGCAGGTTACGCCATCTGAAGGGTATCCAGCTGTCCAAGCGGGCTATTTGCCGTCCCCTCAACAGTCCGCCTATCAGCCACAGTCCGGATATCTGCCACCCTTGCCCAGTTACTCCTCCATTTCCCAGGGCTACAATGCTGCTGGATCTGCAGCTGGCGCCTCCACCATTGGACAGATCGATCTGCCACCTGTTCCCGAGGGTCAGCAGGATCTAACGGCCAGCTTTAATGATGCCGGCGTGGACTACCGCTCCGCCAGAGCAAGCCGCTTTCCTTTTGGGACCAATGAGCGACATAGGCGTGGCAGTCGGATGGTCTTTCCCTCATCCAGCCCTGGAAAGCGCCTGCGGCTCTGAAAAGGCCACCCTCTGCCAAATTAAGACATTAAATTAGTGACATAAGACTGCCCCAAGGGGTAACTAGTTGTAGCTGCGAATAAAGCCCAATATCTATCAATGAATTTGTGTTGCTTCTACACAGCCTAAGATTTCGGTAAGCGGCTTATCAGCGATGCGAGCGTCTAGGCTAAAAGAAAAAATGAACAGGCCGGCGAAAACATCAATATGACGTGTAAATTAACAAATCAGTAGCCATAAAACGTCGGTCGTAAAAATACCTGGAGAGTGAAAGTGGAGCTGAGGAGGCGTAAGTCGTTGGTAGTCTAAACAAATGGCTTCGACTATGACAGGCGACAACAATGGGGAGCAAATAGCATATGAAAATATTTTATAACTAATTCAAATTGGGAGCTCATTTGTAAATTTTATGCGAATTAAATTCAAGTTCAAGCCGGGCATCAGGTCAAACGCACAACCACACTTTGAAGTAGGTATATAGTATAGGTATATTTATATGGAGTTCGCTTTTGTTTCGGGTCTTGCAAAGCCAGAAATTTGCATTTCAAAATTGAACGACATTAACATGGATAATCGGAGCAGGCAAACAAACACACAAAACCAGAGCAAACGCTCGCAGAAATCGTTTATAGGAAAACAGATGCAAAAATGCGAAATAAAATAAAATCATAACGAGTGGCGACGCGGCCGAGAAGTCAGCTTACTTTCGACCTCCTATTTGTTTGTGTCGTATATAAGGATGGTTTTGTTGCTGGGACTGGATTATAACCGAACAGCGCGTCAAGCGGTAAAAATGGCTAGAAACCCATTGCGAGTGCGGAACATCGCAACCATGCTCTCCTCGTTGGTAAGTTTGGAAGTGGAAGAGTGGTCTTAACTGGAGAAGAATTAACTGAATTTGTTGTAGTTACTATGCAATTTTCTTGGGACTTGCCGTGGCTTGGGAGAAGTCTATCTGCCGGCTGAAAACGAAGTGGCATCTGGAGGAAAACTGGACACGGAGTACTTTACCTATGCGGCTCCACCGGAGGAGGACCAGGTGGCGCCATGGCAATCGGCCAGGGAATTGGCCAAGGTGCTCTCCCCTCCACAACAGGTGGTGTTTATTCGAACGCCGGAGACGAATATATTTTCACTGACGGCTAAGCAACTGGCGGTGAACAATCCACTGGACATCTTTGTGCTCCACCAGCAGGCGGATGCAGATGCTCTGGCCAAGCAGCAGGCTGCGATACAACAGCAGGTATCTGAGAAGCCGTCGGTTCATTTCGTAAAATACAGAACCCCGGCGGATGTTACTAGAGCTCTAAGCGCCTTGAGAAGCGATTATGATCGGTTGCCAGGAAATAGTATTAGCAATGCTATAGAAAAAGCCGATGTTCTGCAACTAAAACCACAAACAACTGAGACACCAGTGATCTTCAAGATCAGGCCAAAAGATAGCGATTACTACGAGACCCATGAGCCGGCAAGCGAATTGGAAACGGCCAAGTTGCAGGCGCTATTTCGGGAATATCTGCCACCGGGAAAACGACGTTAGTTAACCTATGACCTATAGGCTAGTCCCAAAGATTGTTTAAAGGTTATTTAAATTAATTGTTAATTAGTTAAAATCAATTGAACTGTTCCTGAACTTTTAAATAGATAAATACATCCACAAACTAGTGGAAACTTTATGGTATAAATCATTCAATTTCAAGTTCATGAAAATTGATACCCATAATTTACTACGCCAATGAAAAGTTTTTATTTAATAATTTAGTAGACGTGGGAGCGATAAACTGTTATAATGTTTGTATGGAAATACAAATAATGACGTTGGTTATTCGAATCAGGTTGAAAGTAGTATACTTCAAAGAATTCCGGTAATTACCATTTTATTATACCCGTTACTCGTAGGGTATACTAGATTAGTTGTAAAGTATGTAACAGGCAGAAGGAAACGTTTCCGACCATATGAAATATGTATATTCTTGATCAAGATCAAAAGCCGAGTCGAACTGGTCCATGTCCGTC